TTCTATTTTGGCTAGACGAAACGTAAGGACGATTAGGAGATTGAGGTTACTCCCCGTTCCACTTTTTACGTGACTCGAGATAATTTGAGGTAGACTCGCCACCATTAATTAGTTTAAATTATAATTGTATGTATTATATGAATTTACGTGATTTCTATGCTTTAATGCATAAGATGAGAATATTTCTTTTGAGATATATGATGTTGTTATGCTTGTCGTAACTTATATGCTTTAATACATGAGAAAAGACGAGTATCTCTTATGAGATAAGATGAGAATGTTATGCATAACTTATATATTTAAATGCATGAGACGAGACTACCCGCACCCTACGATTTTAAAGAGCCTATGATTTTTTTAAAGAGAATGAGCTTATGATGATGATGATGTCACGGTATAAATTGCATGAGTACGTGTTCAATTATTCTGTAAATTTATTATTTGCGATGAGTCTACTGAGTATTTTTTTTCTAAATACTCATTCCATTATTTTAACGACATTTGCATACTTTGAAGACGATCGGATTTGATGGACAGTGGTGGCAACGANGGTCGGATTTGATGGGCAGTGGTAGCAACGATTAAATGGATGACGTTACTTACTTTTAAAATTTACATATTTGAACGTTATTACCGTACTTGTCATTTCAGTTATTTCAAAAAACTTGAGATTTAAAGTTTAATCAATTTTCTTAAATTAATCAAATGAGTTTGTTGCCGTTGAAGTTCACAATTATTAAATGTGATGTTTAAAAATTAGTTATTTTCACAAAACTTTTTAGTTAAATTAGGGCAAAAGACGATGATGTGGCACTCCGGGTTCACGGAACTCGGGGCGTTATATATACAGACTACAAAAGCTTCAAGTACATCTCCACCCAGAAAGAGTTGAAAATGAGACGGAGAAGGTGACTTGAGTTAGTAAAAGATTACGATTGTGAAATTCATTATCACCCAGGCAAGGCGAATGTGGTAGCTGATGCCTTGAGTCGGAAAACGACAAGTCAATTAGCTATGTTGACTACGCAGGAAACACTATGGAGAGAATTTGAGAGATTGAATCTCGAGATTGTCACCACTCATCCAGGTGAGGTCGCTCGAGTAGAAGCTTTCTCTATCTAACCCATACTCCGTGACAGAATTAAAAGACATCAAAAGGGTGATTAGTCTTTTGAGTATATCAAGTCTGAGATTAACTCAGAAAAATGGAAGTATTTCACCATACCAGAAGATAAACCATTATATTATCAAGGACTGATGTGTGTACCAGATTTTGAGAAATTGAAAAGAGAGATTCTAGAGAAAGCTCACTCTTCTCCTTATTCAGTACACCCGGGAGGTACAAAGATGTACAAGGATTTGAAGGCAGTATTTTGTGGGAAGGCATGAAGAGGGATATAGTTGAGTATGTTAAGAAATGTTTGGTATGTCAGCAAGTGAAGGCCGAACACCTACGACCATCAGGGTTACTTGAACCATTGGAAGTCCTAGAGTGGAAGTGGGAGCATGTAACTATGGACTTCGTGATTGGTTTTCTAAGGTCAGCAAGAGATCACGATGCTATTTGGATCATAGTGGATCGACTCACCAAATCGGGTCATTTTTTGCGGGTTCGGATGACGTTTACTATGGATCAGTTCGCGCATTTATATGTGAATGAGATAGTATGGTTACATGGTGTGCCTGTTTCTATTGTATATGATAGAGATCCAAGGTTTACATCGAACTTTTGGAAAAGTCTACATCGAGCTATGGGAATTAAACTAAAGTTTAGCACGGAATTCCATTCTCAAACGGATGGGCAATCTGAGCGGACAATTCAAATATTGGAGGACATACTTCGGACATGTATACTCGAGTTTGGGGGACAATGGGAGAAGCATTTACTATTAGTTGAGTTCTCATACAACAATAGTTACCACACTTCAATTGACATGGCACCATAGGAGGCATGGTATGGGAGAAAGTGTAGATCACCAGTTCATTAGGATGAAGTCGATGAGCGAAAGATTTTGGGGCCAGAGATTATTGAGCAAACAATGATGCAATTGAGAAAATTCGTGCCAGCATGAAAATTGTCCATGATAGACAAAAGAGTTATGCAAATAAAAAGAGAAAGGGTCTGGAATTTCCAGTTGGTGATAAGGTATTCATCAAAGTGGCACCATGAAAGGAGTGCTACGTTTTGGCAAGAAGGGTAAGTTGCGACCAAGGTTTATTGGCCCGTTGGAGATCTTGTGACGTATCGGAAACATCGCATATCTGTTAGCATTACCACCAGAACTTTCAGATGTACATGACGTCTTCCACGTGTCAATGCTTAGGAAGTACATCCCTGATCCGAGTCATGTGGTCAACCATCAGTCTATTGAATTACAGCGAGGTTTGAGCTATGAAGAAGTACCATTAAGAATTGTTAATCAAAAATTTCAAGCCCTCTAGTGAAAGTACAGTGGCATAATCATTCAGTTGAAGAGGCCACGTGAGAACGAGATGTGGAAATGCGGGATAAGTACCCACAA